TATTTAAAATGTTAAATTTGAACAAAAATATTAATTTGTGACTATATTAACTTTTTGAATGTTTGATATAAGTTTTAATTTAGGGTTATGAAAAATCCATCGAAAATAATTGATTTAGGTTTTCGGTAGACTTCTAAGAAAGTCTACAAAGCATTTAGGATTTCATTTAGAGTTTAGGGTTTCGTAGACTTCAGCTCCTCCTGGTATTGTAAACTTGAAATTTTCTGCTCAAAATTGCTTAATTTTGTAGTAAGCAGATTAGTTGCTTCTTCATATCTTGAAATTCTCTCAAAACCATTCTTGTATTGGTGAATATAATTACACATTTCATTTTGAAATTTTGTAATTACGATTGTGATTTCCATTGGTGAATATAATTACACATTTCAGACAAAGCACTAAGCTTTGTATTGTATTGTCTGGATACAGAGTACAGTTTTAGTTTTCATATTACATGGATTCACATTTAGTTATATATAGACAAATAACTCATTTTGTTTTCATTGTATTTGTTACTATGATGAGACCAGATTGGGAACAAGGGAAGACATGGTCGGGAGCTTAAGATGAGAACAGATTGGGAACAAGGGAAGAGATGGTTTAGTAGTGTTAAAATGGAAGGTAAGATTTACATGAGGACTTGTTACAATAGCTTCGTTTATGATCCGTAAGACGGTTATTGCGATAAAGACGAGGTCTTCAATTCTAAGGAGTGGTCTAGTTCTTGTGTGATAGAGGATGTGTTGTATTACTATGATGTTCGAGGGAAATGTCTGAGAGCGTATGATCCAAAGCAGAGATCTTGGGGAGTTGTGAAAGGTTTGGAAGGTGTATTGCCTGGGGAGTTGTGATTGTGATGTTATGTTCTTGAAGCTGTGGTTACTTATACTGAAGAATTGGCATACAAACAAGCCAAAGAAGCTGATGATTTGCTCTCTCAAGGAACTTATGTTGGTATTGAAGCATGGGTTTACAAAGCTTGCATGTTTGTTTAGATTAAAAGCTTCAGACGCAGTTTTAGTAGCAAAGCTTGTTTCGGGTTCTGGCTTATGATGACATTTGGTTTGGGGGACGGACTAGGAACCCCTGGAATATTGGGGAATCAAGACTACGGAAAAGGCAAAGGATAGCAACGTGACTGCAAAGTTTTCGATGCTCCGAAACACTGCCATCTTTTTCACCAATTTTTGTAGTGTTTGTATGTAAACTTTGGTTATTTGTTGTTCCTTTTTTTTTTTAGTATGGTACCATAGCTCTGTACTCTTTTGTTTATTGTTAAATTGGATTGGTGTGTGAATGTATGTGTACCATTAATGACATCTTTGTATGTGTTCTAATTTCTCTTCGAAGATTGTAATGTGAAGCTAAATTGTATAACGTTCCCTACAAGTTAGACGTGTTCCCTATAAGTTAGACGTAACATAGCTGCTGGTTAAGCAATTACCAATGATTTTGTTTATATTTGCAAGAAGCCTTAATAAAAATACAACGAATTTGTTTTTGGTGTAAATTTGTCTTTGGTAACACTTGTTCTTACTTCGGTTATAAAAAGAGGAAATGTCAAGTTAACAAAGGACATTGGAAAATGTTTTAAAAGTGTACTTTGTATTTGACTTTGTCAATTGTTATATCAAAGACCACAAATATAATCTCAACAAGAAAAGAGTACGTTAACAA